GCAGAATATTTACTTACTTGGATATGCACATAAAGTTGATGACAGAAAGTTTAATCTCTCTCTCGGAATCTTAATCGCTCTTGCAATTAAAACCCATCACAGATTGAGATATGATTCGTTAATGGTACGTACTGATGATCCAGGTGCATCTTGCATGGATGTCATAGTTTTTATTCTCTTCTATGCACTAGGTTTTTAATTGTTAACCTGTCTCGTCCTAATTTTATTCTCCATCTTTTTTCGTAATTAACTGGTGAGAGGAGATTCGATGTTGGAAATATCTTTCAATATTGAGAAGAAAAATACTAATACGATAAAGTTAAAGTGAAGTTTCCATAGAAATTTTGTTTTAATTATTGTTTTTATAATAAGAATTGGACTTAATTCCTAAACCTTCTTGACTACTTCTCCTTCTTTCACTCCAATTCCACTTAAGGCGCGATCAAACATGCATGACTTAACATTACACCAATAAAATAATTAATTTGGACAATGTTACGTTACTAGGTACATAAATATACATTAGGTGGCTTGAGACGTCCATGAAAAGTCATGTATATAAAAAATTAGAAGTTCATAGTCTAGGGGACTAAGGGGAGGTAACGTACGCCTGTTTTATTAATTATTTGGATTCCATATCTTCAAGTTTGCTTATAAACAGATGGGATGGTCGGATCTGGATGTTTAAACAAATCCTTAATATCTGTTTCCCGATTTCTTTAGCGAACCCTATCTCACTAGAAAATCTTGGAAATCCATCTAGCCATGTGGTCCATTTCATCTTTGTCCAACCAAGGCATGCAATATTATTCTCAAGTCTCAAATAATGTGATTGCCATGCTCATTGTTTAAGAGTTGTATTATTGTTCGAGGCCGGCCCTTTGACTTTATTAATTTTGGGGTACTATATATAAATGTGTCCCCAAATTCTTTGACTTTAAACTAAAAAAAATGAAAGGATCCACTACTATAGTTGTTTGAGTAATACCGACCCTCTTAATAGGAAAGGTTCTCAAACAAGAAAAAAAACTAATATAATTAAACATCAAAATTAGTCCCGTCGCTCACCATGTTCTGTGTGACCCTTGAAGAATCATTAAGGGCACTATCTATTATAATTTTATATGCGGGTCTGAGATATTGCCTACAAAAAAGAAAAGAAAGGATATGGATAGGTTTATAAAAACTTGTTGGCATAAAATGAAACCCATAATTGTTTGAATTATGATTCAAAAGTACGTATTAGCTAAACGTATTTCATAAAGTATAATTTGTTCAAAAGTATTAGATTTTGATTAAGACGAGACATACTCATTTCAACAAAGTGAACGTTGCAGCTCATACTGAGACAAATTTATCCGATGGTAAGAAAACAAAAAGGAAAAGATTTGCGGTGTCGGGTCAGCTGTAAAATTGTTAGGTAGCTGGGGGTATCTACAACAACAACTACAATACAAGGAAGTCATTGATGTATGTAGAAGAAGTCATATGGATCCAAGTGCCCGATATGATCACGACATTACCATTTACCAGAGAGATGCCATGGTCAAATCAAGACTTTGTTCCCCCCTATTAACTTCTTCTTGAAAGATGCTCTGCGAGTCCGTGCGTTTTCTCACACAGAGAGAGAGAGAGAGAGAGAGAGATGGGTACAAATACTTTCATTTGCAATGTTTACTTATTTGAAATGGGAATGTGGAGAGAATAAATGAAAATTAGATCCTTCTTTCATTAATACAATTCCACAATTTGAATGAATGGGGTAGGTATAGTTCTTCGTTCGAAGAAATATGACTATAATGAGCACAAAATCACCTCCGCATTAAGCTAGATCAGATACAGTTGATGATCATCAAGATTCTGCTTCGACACTCTCTAACCAAAAAAACAAAAAAATATGATAATTAGAAGGACCCAACGCTAATATTCTTGTGAACTACAAGGAACTCATGTAAATCTGTGAGTCTTTTGAGGAATAATGAAGTGAATGCTTCTTCTACTTCATGTGTTTCCTACAAAAATAAAAAAAATATTTATATGTTAAATATACTTATCTAAATTAATATATCTTTGTATTAAGAAATTTAGACAGTAATTAGTGTGATGCATACCAAAGGGTTTAGCTTGTTCTTGGTCAAATGTTCATTGAGATAATGTACAATGCGGTTTCAGTAAGTAAGCACCCCACTACATTATCTTCATAACTATCTTTATCTTCATGCTCACAAACGGAATTAAAAGCTATATTGTACTTGGAACTTTGAATGTTTTTTTTTTCTTCAATGCTAATTAAAAAGGAAACAAATTATTCTAAGAACAATAGAATTATAAAAGGTTGGGGAGGGTCGGTCAGAATGAAACTTTGATTAAAACCCGAACTCAGGATTCGAAACTGACACAACGAGATATAGTGTAATAGGGAGATCGAATGATAACTCTAAAGTAACAATGTCGGAATTCACTAACAAACTGAAATTCACCAGAAAATTGAGTAAAACTTAAAGGTATTTGATTGATAATAAATTGAATTATCTAAATACAATGTCATGAGTTGGCTTAAATAGAAAACAGAGAAATCCTTACACCATAGGAAACCTGAAGTTCCATAATATTCCTAAAACTTAGCTAACAAGAAAACAAAAAAATCCTAATTAAAATCATATGAGGAAAATAATATCTTTCTTTTTTTTTTTTTCCAAACGAAGAGAGTTTAAAAAGAGACGAATAGAAAGGTTTACATCACTAGCTAAAATATCAAAAATCCACTCAGGCCACACTTGGTCCCAAATGTGGTTAACACCTACTATAGACACAAAGGCCGCAATCTCATGCGCTGCCTTATTACACTGACGGGAAGTAGCTATAAAAACGACCTGTTGGAGCTTACCAGCAAGCATCTTAATGTCAAACACAATAGCTTCCACTGCAACATCAACTTGACTCTCACCTCTAAGGAAAATAATATCATGATTGATAACTTATTCTAAATATGTAAAATAAAACATTAAAGTAAATATAAATCTTGACAGAATCTATAATTGCTTCAAAATTCACGAATCAATCCAAAAATTCCAACGATACACATTCCTTTTTTTCGTAGCGCCATAATTGACATTTAATCGAAACTTTCCTCTCTTGCACGATTTGCTTCCAACTTTGAGCCACTTTATTTTAATGAATTTTTCACACCATAATTAACTCATATTTCATCGTACATAAGAAACTAACATAACTCTGTTGACAAAAGAAAAAAAAACATAACTCTGCATCATGATTGAAAGAAACAGGAAGAAGATTCCAGGCGCTTGCGAATAGAGCAGACTTTGTTGGGAGAGGTCCCTGCTTTGCGCCCGACAGTACCTCGAGGGCTAGTCCCCGCAATCGCGCGGGGGATACCTTGGTTTTCATCAAAAAAAAGAACCAGGAAGAAAGACAAATCTCCCAGATCATGATAAAACAGCAATTTAACATGCTTCAAATCTCGTCGTCTTGTTGCCAACAATACTAGTTTTCTAAGCAAATTTGATAAATTTGGTGTAGTGCAGGTTGTATGTAATTAGAAAGAAAACATAATTTGCATTAAAGGGTAAAGGGTTACAGTATTAACGCACAATTTATTGTTGTGGTGCAAAAGTACACCACACCCATGCTAAAGGTGTAGGATTCTCAATTGACTCAATTAAATGTGGGTCATGCTAGAATGAGTCTATTTGTAGAAAACCCTATAGAAAATTACCCAAAAACAATTTATATGCAACAAGAATTAAGTAATCTTAGATGCTTTTACATATATGAGAATTGGGGTTTAAAAAATCCGAGTCTACGATTCGTTGGATACTCATTTTATATATGCCGACTCACTCAACTGTTCTTGGGCAAGTCTAGTTTCAACTTTTTCTTTTTAAGACTGAGGCATACCAGGAGGCTCAAGAAGAATAGTAAAAGTGAAAAGGGGAAGTCAGCAAAATAGGTCAAACTAGGTCCCTACGGGAACAAAGATGATGAGGCATATCTGATACATCCCTGTTAGAAAAAGGCATAAAGTTGAAAGCCAAACATAGAGCCAGATAAGAACGCCGACGAGAGAGAGAGAGAGAGATATCAAAATCTTACTCTTTTTTCTTCTTTTCTTTTGGCTTCAATGGATATGCATGCTTTCCATACGCATGCATTGATGTCGTTGATCTTATTATTCTTTTTTTTCATAGGCCCTGGCCGCCAGGCCTGTTGTCTGTCTCCCTTTTGTCCAGCTGGTTTATGATACAATCCAACACGTCTTTTCACAAAAGCCACAAAAGCCAGACCAAGACAAGCTTGCTTAAAGGCCATTTTAATTAGCTTATCCTGAGATTCTTAGGGGTTCGTGGTGTGATGTGGAAATTTTTGGTTTTGATTGATCAGCCTGCGATTAAGGGCACCCCATTAACATGGAAAAATTCCATATCTCGTCATGTCACCTATGACATGATGAGGAGGGAAATAGGACGAGAGGACATTGACATCGGGGTAAGAAAGTCTCTCTCCAACAACACGACTCACGACCATAATGTATAGAACAAGTTGTTTGTTACCTTTGAAATGTGTGTTGTTGGGTCGCCATCCTCATAAATTAGTCGGCATTGTAGATGGCAAATTATTTGTCTATAGCTGAACTTATAGTCATAATAGTGTTCTGAGGGACATGTGAAGTCGGTGCCCTGGTTCATATGTTGGAGGTGGAGGACTTTGGTTTTGGTATTAAAAATTGTTGAAATAAAATTGAAATTCACTGATCAATCACCATTGATCAAATTTCAACCACAAAAGAGTTTTTTTAATTACTTTTCTGATGATGATGATGTTCGTATAAATATTTTTTTCAATAATTTTAATAAATTATTTTTACATATGTATCGACCTGTAATTTGTGTGTGAGGAGGAATGACTTCTTGCATAATGCATTGCTAGAAACAAGCTTTTTTTGGTTAGAGAAATACTCTTTTCTTTTGTTGCATGGGGAATAAAGGCCCAAAAAAAATCTACAACAAGCGTTACTTGGCCCATAAAGATCCCGTTTTATTTTTAAACAAATGGAAAATAGCCCAGCCCAAGAAGCCCATTTTCAAACCAAAACCCCCAGCGACTACTCAATTGGTGGGGTTTTGATTGAGACTACGAGCTTCTGCTTCTTCTATTCAGCAGCCTTAAACCCTAAACCCTCAGAGTCAGAGCCAGCCATCCATGGCACTCCTCGGAAATCTCCCCCACAAACCACTAAATTCCCAATATATCCTTACCGTCGCCGCCCGATTCTTCACAACCCAAAGCCCCAATTTCAACACTTTCCCCGATATCCCCACCTCAGCCTACTACGATGACGAGGTCAATGCCGCTGGCCGTTCCAGAGACTTCGACGGCCTCTGCCACCTCCTCAACAAGCGCGTGAAGGACCACTGCTGCAACACCACCAACACCTTCAAGTTCATCACCAGCACCGACGCCTCCCTCTCCCTACTCGATGATCTCTGTCGAACTCTGGCTCGTCTCGACAATGGCTTCGCCCGAAAGAGCGCGTACGACTCGCTCATCGCGCGGCTCTGTAAGCTGCAGAGGGTCGACGAGGCGCTGCGCGTGGTGGAAATGATGGCGCGTGGAAACTACGGCCTGAACGCGTGTAGCTTTCACCCCCTACTCAATGTGGTTACCAGGAAGAAGAGGATGGAGGAAGCGTGGGGCGTGGTGGATCTGATGAGGAGGCTTGGGGCTCCGCCGGATCTGACGGCGTACAATTATCTACTGATGGCGTATTGTTTCTCCGGAGAATTGGATCCGACGGCTGCAGTGCTTAAGAGGATTGAGGAGGAGGGGATGAGGGCGGACACGCGTACGTACGACGCGCTGGTGCTGGGCGCGTGCAAGGCGGGGAAGGTGGAGGGGGCTCTGGTGCTGCTGAGGAGGATGGTGGACGATGGAGTGCCGATGCAGCTTTCGACACACGTGTACGTGATTGATTCGCTACTGAGCGCGGGCTTTTACGATCAGGCGGTGAAGTTTGTGAGGAGCTTTAGCGGGAGGGACACGTGGCTGGACAAGGAGAATTTCGGGAGCTTGGCGAATCGACTCATCAAGTTGAAGAGGTTTGACAAGGCAAAACAGGTCTTGGACGAAATGAAATCCAGGGGTTTAGATATAGGCGATAAATTGAAGGAGAAATATGAGATTATTTATTGTTAATCAAATAATTTATTTTCTCAATTAATTAGTGTTAACAGGCGTTTTCCACAGTAAACCGGAGACTAAACAAATGCTGACAGTAAAACCGAGCTAAAACCATCGACAACGTCGTACATGGTTAAATTAAAGCGGTCAATGGTATGGTAGTCCGTCCAACCCCCATAGAGGAGCTGACGTCACCGCCGGTACAATGGACGGCCAGATTTCCATTTCCTTCTCAGTCCGATTTTTTCCTCATCTTTCGATCGACACCCAACCCATCATTATTACCCACACCAAAAAAATCCCGCTGTTTCTCTCTTTCTCCGCCACCGCCCCGAACCGAACCCGAAACCGTTCATGCATCGCCCGACCCGGACCCGCGCCCCCGGTGGCCGGGATGACTGTTGGAGCGAGGGCGCCACATCGACGCTAATCACGGCGTGGGGCGACCGTTACCTCCAGCTGAACCGCGGCAATCTCCGTCAGAATGACTGGAAGGAGGTGGCGGACGCCGTTAACTCTGGACTAAACGGCGGCGTCAAGGCGTCCAAGACGGACGTCCAGTGCAAAAACCGCATCGACACCCTGAAGAAAAAGTACAAACTGGAAAAGTCTAAGCCTAGCCCTTCCACGTGGCCCTTCTACCACCGCCTCCACTCCCTCATCGGCTCTTCGCCGGACTCCGCCGTTTCGACCAAAAGAAAGCCCTCAATTCCCACTCTCACTGTCAAATCCCCAGACCTTAAGCCTAAGCCACCGGGTGGGTCCACGGAGAGCTCAATTGGATGTGAAGATGGTGAGGATTGTAATGATGATGGTGTAAGGAAGCGTCGGATGGAGGCGGTGGGATTATCGGGTGGAGCGGCGTGCAGGGAATTGGCGGGTGCAATATTGAAATTTGGGGAATTATACGAGCGGATGGAGAATTTGAAACAGGAGCAGATGATGGAGCTGGAGAAACAGAGGATGGAGTTCACAAAAGAACTCGAATTCCAGAGGTTGAATATGTTCAAGGATGCTCAGGTCGAGCTGGAGAAGATGAAGCGCCCCAAGTACACTCCTTGTAGAGGTAGCTTGAAAAATATATTCTGGGTTTTGTTTGATTGTTAAGAGATTTTTGCAATGTGGTGAGTGTTGGTTTCAATGCTTACTCTGTCTGTCTATATTTTGAATTGGTTGGTTCCAGCGAACTTTGTTTTATGAATCAGCTATTGTGTCTCAAGAATCAGTATGTGATGGTTTGGTGAAATTCATTTCATTGCTTTACTTGATTGAGATTGGTTTCTATTCATGTTCTGATAAGTTTTCTTATTTCTTATACCTTAAACAGGAAAGAAGTTATAAGCTGAGGTTGACTCTCCGTTTTCGAATGGGAAGTTGTTTCTGTCAAGCCACAAATCAGACCATGTAAGAAATCTAAGTGGAAAGCTCGATATCCAGATCGCTACTTCTGAAGTATGCATCATGAGCTCCATGATTTATATATCTGCAGTTTCAAGTTCAAGGCTTTGGATGCCTATGAATTATTGTAATGTTTCTGGTGTACATGATTAGTTGTTAGCCCTACAGACTTCCTGTACTTTTATGTTTCTGTAGTGTAATATTATTTGTTGATAATGATCAAGCTCCATTCATAGATTACATGGATTGTATCAGCTTTTCTCTTGAATGGCAATGCTAATTTGATCACTAGTAGTTTCTCCTTCTGAGTTATAGAATCAATCAATGGAAGTTGGTTTGTATAGATTGCTTGATGGAGGAATTTCTGAGGTTTAACTATTCTTCTTAGTCTTGTACTGTGTAAATCTTTGGATTCATCTTGGAATGCTTGGCTAGAGAAAATTGGTCACACCAGACATGTCTACAACTAGCGTGCTTTCTGTTGATATTTCATCTTGGATATGAGATGGTGTTTGAGATTTCGAAATTTCAGATTTCCAGGCTTCTCAAACTTGTTTAGGAGCATCTAAAGGTTAATGGAAGAAGAACAAGAAGAACACTTAAACAAGTCACACTCTTGCTAGCATTGTAGAAGCACCAACAGCTACTTTTGCATTCTATTCTACTAATCACAATTCATTCTTGGAAAACAATCTAAAGGCAAGTGTTCTGTGACACGAATTGGGTTCTCAAACTAGGAGGCTGAGCTGAAAATAAATATGCTGCCCCTCCCTTTGCTTTAAATTCTCACCGATCCCATTACTTTATTATAATCACAAATTAAGGCCACATATTCCCAAATTACCATCACAGATGGAGACACAAAGAGATCATAATAAAATTCACAGTATATATGGGGCGCAGCTAAAATCACTAGTTTGTCCATGCTGGCTATGGCTGTTCAGTTCAGGTGCACTCTGGCTCATGAAACTATTACTAAATCCGCTGCAGGCAGGAAAGCCAACCGCACTTAAAGCAGCCTCGCTGAGCTGATCATCCAAGACACCATAACAAGAAGAAGCAGAAGCTGTTGGTGACGATGATGATAAAGAATTGGAAGCATAACAAGCAAGACGGGCTCTAGCAATAGCCAGATCATGTTGCAGCTCAATCATCTTCCTCTGCAACATAGCTATGGCACCAATGCAACCGTAAACCGGATCTCTCAGCCTTGCCTCTGCCTCATAAGCCAGCGAATTCACCGTGTCCTCGCGTCGTTCCTCCGGCACTTCAGTTAGGATCTTGCTCACATTGCTTGCTCCAAACACTTTATGAACTTTGGCAAACTTTTTGGGCTCGTCGGGGAGAAAATATGGTGCGAAAATGCAGGTGGGGCTGCACTTTCTTTTCAGTAACTTGCAAGCTGCACAGGATGAGGTTGAACGAGGCTCATGACTTCCCTTCATGTTCATGGCTTCATTAACTAAATCCACTTCCAATTTCTATAATGAGTAATCTCCTTTCCATCATATATATATAAAATAAATTTTAAATGGTTTATTTTCTAAATAATGCTTCGGTTGGGTGGAGTGTGTCATGCAGGTTGCAGGGTCCAAATACTTTGCATGGTCCATTTGTGGTTTGGATTGACCTTTTTCTCTTTACTAATTTAATTTCTGAAATAATTATTTGTGTGTTTTTTTTTTCTTTCATTTTTTTGGAAATAAAAAAGAGAAGCCAAATAATTGAAGATGGGGCACCATCATCATGCGCCATCGGTGGGTTATAATGGGATATGATGGTTCATCAACAAAGATGACATATTTCATTTGACTGACGGAGGAAATTTCACCAGAAAAGTAAATCAAATATCAAGAGAAAGCTGGATTTGTCCACAAGGAGGAAACATGGCAAGGTGCAAAAAGATGAACTTGGAATCTATATAACCCATGGTGGTGCCCAAAGCATCACTATAACACCATTAATCTTGCTTGTGATTAATTCCTAAAAACATAAAAATCTATCATCAACCATTTTTCCAGCTGGGTTGGGTCGTCAAAATGATTCTAATTCTTCTGATCAAACATATTTTTGCATCCTGCAATCAAACCAAGTGAAAGAAACCAATGCCAATTATGAAATAAACATGATTAGTACCTACAAACATAAAAGTCTTCCTACAATTGTGATAAGTCATAAGTTTGAATTTTAGATAACAAGATCATTAATCAAAATTGTCTGATAAGATGTCGTTTTTTCATAAAAATAAGTAAATGATCAAATGAGTTCATACACAAGATGCTAATGAACCTAAAACTAATCATTTGCCACATTCTTTCTTCTTTGATTTGTTGACATTTTGCCAAACTCTTTCTTTAGTCCTCTTAACTTTGATTTTGAACACTTCAATTTTGTCACCAATATTTTTGAGCAAATGAGGAATAAAATGTCACTTCAAACATTTTATGGCAAAAAGAAAGTGGAAATGGAACAAAGATGAGAATAGTGCTCCTCCAACTCCAAGAGCCCACTTGTTGAAATGGCTGTCGTTTTCCCAGACCACACAAACCAAACGACATGACGGAAGTGATCCTCACGCGGTACGTGCGATTCAAACCCAACCCAACTACTGCCCGACACGCTCGTGAAAAAAGCGTGGGGGCCGAATGTGCATAGAGGAAGGAATATGGGCCGGCCCAAAAATGAATCATTAGGGTGGGTTGATAGAGATTGACATTTTCGTTTTTCTTTTGGGTTTTTTTTTTTTGAAATATTTTTCTTTTGGGGATTTAGAAAGAAAGAAAAGTGGTGTCATAGACTGTAGCATATTTTTTGTGGCTTGACTTTGGGCATGATGATCTTTGCTCCACTTTCCCCACCATTTTCCACTTATTCATGTTTGAAAAAGCTATTCATGTTTCTAGATTTGACTTGTAGTAGGGCCCATCACATGTGATTGTATCGGTTGTTTGAGCATATAGATGGTTGTGAGCCGATGATGCATTGTGAGATTTATAAACCTGAATGATTAACAACTTTTTACATGTACATGAACGGCTGATCCTAGCACTCCTCAAAAATAGAAAAGCCTGAAGCTACATGGGCTGATAGTGGGGTTTTTTAGAAGAGGCTATAACATGGCAGGCCCAATATGATGCTTTTCTTTTTGGTCAGAAGTCGAAGTAGCATGTGAATTGCTAGAGGACTTCGGACAAAAGAAATAGAATATGCATATGATGTTATGGAACATGATTATAGTAATTCAAAAGAAATAAATTTTGCATAGCATACGATGGAGCTTTCATTCTTTTGTTGTTAGCAGGATACGCAAATGGATTTATTGTTTGACGTGTAATTATTATAATTATGTCATTATTAATTAATGTACGAGAAGTCGACTAATAGCACATAATCCAAATGAAAAAGTTTGTTTCGGTGGGTAGCCAACAGCCAAGTCAAACCGCCTTCTCACTGTATTTTTTTTTCTTTTTTATTTGAAATTCTAGGATTACATTCATAATTCAGTTAAAAAAACTGTTAGTCGCAAAAAGCTAATACAAATTAGCCACAACAATTAAAAAATACAGTTAAATATTAGCCCACTTATCTTTTAGAATCCAACCTATCCTAACCACCCAAATTAGATTTTATTTTCTTCTACCCACAATCCTACCATATTTTATAATATATATATATATAATCCTACCATATAATATTAATTAGCCCAAAAATTCCTAGTTATAAAAGATCTCCCAAAAAAAAATAAAATTAGCCCACTTCTAGAAAAATTTCTAGGTCCGCCATTAGGTGCGTCTCTAATAAGAAACTTTGACATAGGCATTCAGATTGTAAACTCATAATAAAAAAAAAGAAGATAAAGTATGAAAAAACTAAGCCATAACAATACAAATAAAACTCTCACAAAGGAGAGATGAAAAGCTCTCACAAAAGAGAGGTGAAAACTATACAAAAAAAAAAAGTTTTTAATCATTAAAAAAAAAGAAAAAGTTTTTAATTAGATTACCTTAACATCCTCGGTCCTTTAGGTTTTGGGAAACAATAGGGTATCCTTCTATTTTTGGAAGTTATCCTTTTATTGTTATGGTAATTTTTTTTTTTAAAAAAAAAGAGAAAACATTGTCACCATCATCTTCGTAATCATCTTCGTCATACTTGATGACATTTGTGTAATGGATGAGATGAAATTAGACCGACTTATGTTTACAGGATTAGTAGACTTGGTTAATTTAAAGTTTAAGAAGAACTTATCTTGCTAAAACAGAAGCAATTATAAATTAGCAACATCTAATCCCGCTCTTTTTCTCTTTTATTTTTATTTTTAATTTTGAACATTTTACTTATTCTTCCCCTTTCTTTCTAATGTTCATGTTTGGCAATTTGTCCTCACAATTAAGTCGCATTTTCTTGGTCGATTTCTGTGGTGGGCTCATTTTATTATTATTTAATATATGTATACATGTAATGTCCAAGTTGTAGTAATGTATAATTAGATTTTTTATTTTTTGTCTTTAGGTATACTTAATATTGGTTTGTAACTCAAGTGATTAAAAGTAAGGGTGAAATCACAATTCGATGTGCCATCAGTTAAGAGAATCTATCCCTGCAGCAGCTGATGTATTGTGTTCAACGTTCGCCTTCCCGATACCGCTAATATAAAAATAAAAAAGACTTTTAAATGAAGAATGCTTAGTAGATAATATTATATATTTCAAATAACATACATTGTAACTTCTAAGCAATAGAGTGAAATCGGTTTCATGAAAAATCATAAAATATTAGAGATAGTAAGAAACTAGTTCAAAATAAATATTTGTAGTTACCAAAAGTCCATATCTATGGTCTCTGCTGCGCCGAAGGCTCAATGCTTTCCTAATAAGACATTCCATATATGGACATAAAAGAGTTGCAACGAATTGGGTCACCGAATTTAAGTTTGAAATGGCTCAACTTCCATTCAACGTTTCTGGCAAAAAAATTTAATATAAAAACTGGCGCGGAAAATAACTAACCCTAGAAGGCCGGACGTCCCTCCAAGTGGCAGCAACCCATGAATCCCTCTCACTCCTTCACTTACCATCTTTTCTATTGTCTTCTAATGTCAACTTTCCAAACAGAAACAGTCAAGAATCCATGCAATTAGATTAATGTTCCTTTCTCTAGCCATCATTTTAATATCGAAAGTTTAGTATATGTAATTTTTTGTTTCAAGAAACAAACGTTGTTGTTGTTGTTGTTGTTGTTCAAGATTCAAGGAAATTAAATTCCTAACCAAAAGAAAATTTTGGCACAGAAATTAACAGAAACATATTCAGATTTAGAAGAAGCAGAGGATAGATATACCATGGATGTTGCTCTTGTTCCTCCTCTGATGGTTTTCACAGGTTTTTTGCCAACAGGGTCTTTGTTACAATCATTGATTCACATATGCAATGAGGTTTGCTCCATGGAAAAGCTTCCAGTTCTGCAGGCTAGGAACATCTCAACCATGATCAGGAGGATCAAGCTTCTTACTTCTTTGTTTGAAGAGATTCAAGAATCAAATGGCCCGCTTCCCCCGTCTTCGATCCTGTGCCTCACCGAGCTTTTCTCCGTCATTCGAAGAGCTAAGTTTCTGATCCAAGATTGCAAAGATGGCAGCTTTTTGTGGGGGCTTATGCAGACAGAGTTAGTTTCAAATCAGTTTTATGTGCTAGTGAAGGAGCTGGGGAGGGCACTTGATATTTTACCTCTGAGTTTGCTAAAGGTTACAGCAGATATCAGAGAGCAAATTGAGCTTCTTCACAGGCAAGCAAAAAGGGTGGAGTTGTTTATTGACCTTAAAGAGCTGGAAAGAAGAGAAGAGCTTCTAGTTTTGATGGGCAGCAACAGTGAGAAGAACAAGAAGAACAAAGGGTTCATAGACTTGGTGAAAGTGAAAGATATACTTTGCAGCATTGGTCTGAGAAACACCATGGATTACGAGGAAGAAACTTTAAAGCTAGAGGCAGAAGCTCACAAGCAAGCAGGGAGTGGTGGACTAATTGTGGTATCAAACATAAACAACCTTATATCTCTTGTTTCATACTGCAAATCCATCATTTTTATTGATGACGAATTTGAAAAACCCAGCAAAGGGGACTTAAAAGTGCAATCTACACCCTCAAATAGATATTATGATCATTCTTCATCTTCTCAATCCTTGATCCCCAATGTCCCAGACGAATTCCGCTGCCCTATTTCATTAGACTTGATGAAAGATCCTGTTATTGTAGCATCCGGCCACACTTATGATCGAAATTCAATTGCCCAATGGATCAATTCAGGGCACCAAACATGCCCCAAAAGTGGGCAGAAGCTAATTCACATGGCACTTATACCCAACTATGCACTCAAGAGTCTAATGCAACAATGGTGTGAGGAGAACAACGTTCCCCAAGTTCAATCCTCACCATCGTCTTCCTCAGATTTGGAGAGGAGCAACAGCAAAAGAGACTTGTATGAGCA